TAATTCTGATCCTGAATAACTGTAATGTCATCTCTTAGTTCGTATTTTGGATGGATAGAAAGAGATTCCAAACTCAAGCTGAGCAAAATATTTTAGGGAAGTTATTCCGTACGGCTGTTTTAATATATAACTAAGGAAAGACGTTATTGATTTTGTTATTTTTTTAACAAAACGGGTCAAAAATGACTGGAAACATTATTATTTCTACCCAAAACATTATTGAGCGCTTTACCGAGCTTGGTAATATATCCGGTAAAACACTACCTAAAACATTATTTTTTCTACCGGATACATTACCAAACCCGGTAAAGATAGGGATGGGCATGGGTCGGGTTTTTTGTAAAACCCCAACTCGTACCCAACCCGGATACGAGTCCGAGATGTCACATTGACTTTTTAAAATAATATTCTTAACAAAATATAGATCATTTGGACATATATTAAGAAAATATGATAATATATTGTTTAATTGTGTTCATTATAACCAATTTAAGAACATATACGTTTTTATGAATAGTATTATACGGTATAAACAATACAATGAACAGTACCATATACAGTAGTGAATAATACTGTGAACAGTACTGAATGTTAAAAATTTTCCAGATTGCTTCAGGGGTATCGATACCCCTGCCACAGTACTGTTACAGTAGCTTCGGTAAAATACATATAAATTCATAAAAATCTTAGTTTTCATCCGTATAAATTTACCATTTATATATACACATTTAAAATATAAAAAAAACTCAATCATATTATTTTAAAAACCATTTGGAGCATATCAGATTCAAATCTTTATTACATGCCAACCACTATCATTATTATAAAATACATACTGTTTAATTCTTTTCTGATCTGATCTTTGGAAAGAAAAAATTGGCCTGTCTTGTATAACTCTTATCAATCTTCATCTTCTCAGAACTTACGTGTGAAACAATCACACGCTAAGTCATTGACTTAGTGAGACATATAAAACATATAATAAAAACCATAAAACATTTCATATATCAAAATGCATACATGTATATATATCATCATATTTCTATTCATATATTAAATCCACACATGTACATATATATTATCTTTTTCCTTATCATTATCCTATTATTATCATTAATAACTTTTATCATATAATCATATACTTATCATTTATACCCATCATATATCATTTCATATAACCAATACATGAATCATGTAATTTATTTCATATAACAACTCACAATCAATATATTTGTTTAATCTCTTTATTAGCCCATGTATACCAGTGAGAACTTAAGGTATGTGAGTACATTGAGGTTGTGCACTAATGCTGTCACCATAGCTCGTATGGGGTCACACTAGGGGCATATGAAATTTGTCTCGAATGACCTATGTAACTGTCCATATGTTCCGAAGAACATAGGTAAACTGTCCATATGTTCCGAAGAACATAGGTAAACTGTCCATATGTTCTGAAGAACATAGGTAAACTGTCCATATGTTTCGTAGAACATAGGTAACCCTCGACTCTTGGCATGCCAACTATACCACTAGCTCTCATATCATATAACATGGGCATTATCATTTATACATTTCATATCACTTGTGCTTTCTCTTCTGTCACATACCACATGTATGTGTAACCATATATCTCATATCGTATCACATGTATCACAAGTGCATGTATTCACGTAGATCGTTTCATAGGGCTTATATAATTTCTCATTTGTTCATGTAAACTCGCATGTCATATCATATAACATATATCACATGTTGCATTTTCACGTAAACATGTAAATCATGTAACATATAATAACATACATTAATTTATATGTACTAATGCACACATAATAATCACATAACATTTTAGAAGTTACTTCTTACCATAAAAACTCCGTCAATGGCTCATCGTAAGCCAATGTTTGTTCAATAACCTAAGTACAAATTAAATTGCACTCACCTTAGCCTTGCTTTGATTCAATCCTAATGCTTTGATTTGATCCTAATTCTTTGATTGTTCCGGAACTTGTTTAGGCTCAATATCTACATAAACATAATTTTTGAGACGATTATCAAAAGCTCAAACCTTATAACTTGATGTTAATAACTCAATCTAATTTAATGAACTAAAATTCCATTTTTTTTCTTTAGGGGTATCGATACCCCTATTGAAATCTATAAATTTTTGCCCAAAAATCACTGTTCATGCACGAAAATTCACTATTTCCAGCTTCAATTCTTCATGTTTCATTCCCTTTCATATTCTTAACTCAAATATACATACTTAAACCAATTTCTACTCATTATCACATATCTCAAACCTCAAAATCCTATTCTCCATATAAAAATCAATAATCATACCCAATTTTCAATATACTCTATATTCAATTCTATCACTTCATATCTCTTAATTAAGTTTATGTCAAGTCAAATTTAGTTTCAAAATCAACTTATCAACTCTTTTCCAAAAATTCACTTAAAAACTCATTTTCTTTAATCTTTCAGAACTTCTTCATCTTTTGATTTTAAGACAAATTAAGCTTTCCTTAAGCTTAATTATCATCTAATGATCAAAAACCATACTTAAAATCAACAAATAATCAAACAACTAACCTTTGCTTGGCTTGAGCTTGAGCACACGGGGAAGAAGAAGCAAGAAGAAGAAGAAGAAGATAACTCTTCCCCTTCCCTCACGTGATTCATTAATATAAAGGGAAAAAATATCTTTCTTGTCAAATGACAATTTTGCCCTTTAATTCCTTTAATAATTACTAACAACTTTTAGGAAATATTTTCAAATAAATCATTGAACTATTCTACTTTAATCACCAGATTCTGAAATTTTACAATTTAATCACTAACCCATAGTTTGGGATGTTACGTTTTTGGTCCACCCGACCCGAGAAGAAGGGGTTCTCCACCCGTGACCTGACCCGACGAAATTAGAATTTCACCCGACCCGACCCCGACCCCGACCCGATAGACAATTTAAAAACCTGACCCGACTATACTCGAACCTATTTAATTTTTATTTATTAAAACCCGACCCAGTTAAATTTTTTATTTAATAAAAAATAGACCCGACTAGCATAATCAATTTACCTTCAATAATTAGATTAATAAAAATATATTATTTCTATATCTTATTTAATATCTAAAATTTTAGTAACGGCTAATCTACTGAAACTGCCAAGTGTAGCTGTGCAACTTCTTTGAACAATACTAACTTTTCAAGTTTGAGATCATCTTCGCCTTGTTTTGCCAATGTTGCAATTTTATTCTAAAATTGGTGAATAGCCAAATAACCATGTATTCGAAGAGAAGTGGAGCAAGAAATATATGAATGGTTATTTTAGCCCTACCTTTTTCCCAGAAGTCCCACTATTTAACCAAATACATGTGTGTTTCTTTTCTCTTACTTTAGCTATCTAACAAGGAAATAACATATGATTTCTTCTTCTCTCTTTTCCTTTAAGAACCTTTCTTTTCCTTTAAGAACCTCTCTTTTCCTTTCCTTTCCTTTAATAACTTCAATAACATAAACATAAAAAACTCTTACGTCTAACCTCAAATTAACCCAAAAAAATCCAACACTAAAATCCAGGGAAACACCTGATTGGAGTATATTCCTTCAAATTTATTGAAGCTTCAGCAATATAAATTAATATATTCAGCATGTGAAACATATTCTAAAAGAGTCCAGATTTAGTATGTAAAATTCAAACATGACACAAATAGTCAAATTCAAATTGCCTACTTAGTAACAAACACAAAAAGCAAAGCCAAAAGAAAGCAAGGTTTAATTACAGTCTTTTGGATTACCAATTTGACTTCAAGGGCAGGGGTTTAATAAACACGACTAAGGGGTTTCATTCAACTAGTATGTAGTATTTGTTTTGTTGCTTGGAGAATTTAACAAAGGAAGAGATATAGAGATATCAGATACATGAAGGCTGAAGTAGATAAATCGGAAAGCGAGTCGTTGCACTTGCGTCGGTGGTTCAGTGGCTCAAACTTTCGGTGGAGAATTTACAAAGGGAATTATGGCTCTGACCACTATGTTAAGCGTTTGAAGTTCAAAGTGTTGAAGGAGATGCTCGGGTAAGATTAGGGAAAGAAAAAAATTAATTAATAATTATGCATTAACCATTTAGGTAGGATTAGGGAAAGTAAAAAAAAATTAATTCATAATTATGCATTAACTATTCGGGTCATGTAGGATTATTTTAGCCCTAAACTTGACTCCGACCTGAACTCGATTTTTTTTTTAAAATCCGACTCGATCGGTTTGGAACCCGTCGGGTTCGAATTTCATGCCCATCCTTAGGTAAAAAGCCTAATAATAACAAAAACGGTAGAAATAATGATGTTTCTGGTAATTTTTTACCGGTTTTGTTAAAAAAATAATAACAAAACCGATAACATCTTTCCTTAGTCGTATATTAGGCTGTCGCACGTGAGACTTCCTCAATATTTTAGGGTAAATTATGAGATTAATATTTAAACTATTAATTTCAATACGTTCTAGTATTTACATTTTCATTTTTTTAAAGTATATTTAATTGTTAGTTTTGTTTTATCCGTAATTTTTCAACAAATTGAACGCGATTTCGACATTCGTTTTATTGAAAAACGCCTTAATCTTCTCAAATCGAAGATGAACTCTTCGATTTTTGCATCCTCCAATCTCCATGGTCCACCATCCGGTGGGCCTGAAACCGAAATAAGTTGGTCGACTCATCATTTTCTCATTGTCCATCGTTCGGATTGGTCGTTCGTCCACCAGAACTATGACACATCAACCCATTCGTTAAGCTTTTAATGATAGTTTATTAAAATGAAACAAAAACTAAACGTTAAGTATGAGATTTTTTTAAATATAAAAATTTACGTATTAAAACAGATCAAAACCGGTAATTTAAGTACTAAATAGATAGTGTTCCCAAAATTTTATTAAATAAATAAAACGATTGGCCCACGTGTCAGCAAGTGAACCATATTTATGAAAATAAGTGACTGGATATTTTAGAAGTTAAAAAATGTGGAGCATAGTTGCATCGTGTTCAGACTTTGGGCATGGCGGCAGCATCAGCAGCAGTAATCAGCTACTGCAAGCCTTCGCCTTTCATCGGCAAATTTCCTTCCAACTTTGTCAGTTCAATTTTCTTCTGTTTATTTATTTGTTTGTTTGTTTGTTTATGTAATCATAGGGTGAAATTATTGAAACTGTAGGCGAAGGCAGCATCTTCGCAAATCGAAATCACGACGCAGTCATATAGAATCACTTCACTGTTCTGGGGATCAAAGAAGTCTGTGAAGCATCAACCTTCGGATTCTTCTTTGGGGGATTTCACATTGACAGAATCAACAACAGAGGTGTTCTTATCTCATTATCTTTGTATAAACTACATATTTTGCCATTACCTGCTTGTTTTAAGTAGTTTATTGTATCGCTTTTATCTTCGATGTCTATGTGTCCGATATGAGTATGTTTCCATGTTCATGTCTAATACGGATGCTGCAGCTGATTGACATTATTTCCAACTCCAGGGAGTTCAAGAGAGCCAGGCAAGAGGCAAGAAGGTATCGATATCGGTTATTTCTTCGATTCTGGATGTCTCACCACACGATTGGGATTCGTGCTCTCTGGATGCTACCGGTCCCGAAAAGTTTAACCCATTTCTTAGTCATGCTTTCCTTTCATGCTTGGAAGAGACCGGATGCGCTGTGAAGGTTATCATAACTCAGTACATCCATAATAAGTTCTTTCTCGAATTTTGAAGTTCTTTTCTATCATTTTATGGAAATGCAGTTCTTATCCTATCTTTTAATTCAGACTCATTAGTTTCTTCTTTCCTTTCCTATTTTCCGAAGACCGAAATAGTTTTCTGCATGACGTGTTGCATTGAACCATATTTGTTTCGAAATCTTATGATAGCTGTATAATATAATTGAGCAAAGTGAAAGTTGAATTGGTTATGACCAAGAAAATAACCTAAATGAGGAGCCCTTCCATTCTAACTTCATGAACCTGATCCTAAACTGTAGTAGAAATAGGGCTAGTTCTAGTGATTACTGACAAAAGTGTTCATGGGTCCGATTCATGCCAGTCTGATCTCTAACACATTTGGATAAAAAATTGAACATATAGAATGGAAAGATGTCAAGATTATGGTATAGTGATGCTGTATAAATTTTCCTTCTCGAGTCTTAGTACCATGTTAACCTGATATGCAATCATTCTTTGATGAGCCTAAAGGACTTGGGAATTGCATGGTGGGAGTCTTAGCTAGCTATCCTCATCATAAACGACCTAAGAATTCTTTTATATATTTTAACAGTGTCTTGATGCCATTGTAATTGTTTACAAAGAATTTGTTTCTATGTACAAGATATAAGTTAAATAATTCATGCACATAACCTTAAACTCTGAATTATCTGAAATATCTTAATTTTCTGTGTAAAATTTCATTTTCAGGAAACAGGATGGATGCCAAGCCATGTTGTTGCTAAGGATGAATCTGAAAATATTTTAGGTGTTGTTCCTCTCTATCTTAAAAGGTTTAACATCTATTATTCTATCCTCCACACTGAACATCTTGCAGTTTCTTTACTATGTTTCCCAAAGTCTTTTGTTTACCCATTTTGTTGGTTTTCTAGTTTATAGTCTCTTTTAATTTCCGTTTGCAGCCATTCCTATGGTGAATTTGTTTTCGATCATTCTTGGGCTGATGCATACTATAGTTTTGGAGCAAGATATTACCCAAAGTTCCAGTGTTGTGTGCCTTTCACTCCAGTGACTGGTCCTAGGATTTTAATACGGGATACACCATTCAAAGATCAAGTTTTCGACATTATAGTGTCTTCGCTGAAGGGTCTGACATCCAAGGTAGTGCATAAACCAAATCATACTTTATGAGAAATGAGGAGTCAACGCAACACAGATTTTCATATTTATAACAAACCACTTTTTGACAAGCATGCCAGATAAAACATTGTGGGATCTAGTAGGTTTGGTTGGTTAATACATATCGTCATTAATGCAATAGACATCAATGTGACAGTTTAAGTTCTAAGAAATGCCAGAGTGTTCATTGTGTTATTCCAGATCCTGACATTAGATTGGAGCGGATGAAGAGATCTATATTAGAAATGGTTAGGACTAGGAGATTATTATATTAGTTTGCTGAAGCTGTAGATTGCCTGAAATAAGGAAAAATTATCTCACTGTTCCAAAGAACCGAAAGAGGCAAAGCAAATCTAGAGTACCAGCTTCATTGAACAAATGACTTTTACCGACCCACCCACCTACCGGAAACGAGAATATGGAACTTCAATTGAAACAAACAGTTAAATTCCATTAATGGGTGAAGAATTATAGGAGGAAGAAATCTGCATGAACAAGCCAGCCAATGCTGGCAAAAGCATCGTGAGCATATCTCAATATATGGCTTCCTAGTCCCAGCCCATTTGTTGTTGTTCTTTATGACCGTTTAAGCAACAAATTGAACTTTTAACTGCGACTTGTATTTATTACAACCCCAAGAATGAAAATCTTGTATTTGGTTTTCGTTTTAGCTGCCTTGTTAATATGATTTATTTTCTTCTAACAGTCTCAAGTGTCTTCTCTGCACATTACCTTTCTATCTGAAGCTGAATGGTACAAATTGAAGGATAAAGGATTCCAACAGAGGATGGGAATGCAATACCACTGGAAGAATCGCAACTATAAAAGGTTAGTGCTGCCAGAATTTTTTCTTAATTGTGATATAAACTTCACCTTTTACTTAAGTACACACTTAATAGTTGTAGTCTTATCAACGTTCTATATATATAACTTGATGTTGCAATCTTGGATCAATTCTACAACTGGCTGATTTTTTTGCTTATAAATGATAAAATATTCAATCACAAAGAAATGAAATTTATTCTGTATGTTTCCGGAGTAGTAGTTGAAATATAAAACCATGTAACATGCTAGAAATCATAGGACTCAATAAATGTTAGAACTTGACACTCCATCTTAGAAATGAAAGTAATTAAACTAGTTTAGAACAATGCATTATCTTAAAGAAACGCTACATAACATAAAAATAATCAATGGATGAAATTCCGTGATATAGTATTTGTTATTTTGTTTTATCTGTTTGGTATGTAACTTGTGGAGTAGAAGTTTGTTTTTCTTACATTTATTACCTATTGCCTTTCTAATTGAAAGAAACTATTTTTTCTTCATACTAATATATAAATATTAAAAATACTGCAAATGCTTGTCTTCATGCCTCAGTTTTGATGAGTTCTTGATGGACATGAAGCAAAGTAAAAGGAAAAATATTCGTCAAGAGCGCAAGAAGGTCTGCATCTTTTTCATATAGCTCAACTTAATAACCATGTCCTTAAATCTCTAGTGACAAGATATGAGATCTGTGAACGTGTTGGAGCATTGAGAACGCCTCAAGACTTCTAACATTTCACGTTATCTTAGTGAATTTTTTTCAAATAGTACACATTTAAGAATTTAAATGCATAAAAATCAACACCATGCATATGATGGTGCTAACAATGATGATGGTATTCCTTTTCTTAGTGGTCGAGTAAATGCCCTCTAGTGTTTTATATTTTATCCAGAGCTATAACTGAATTTGCTGTTACGTCGACTGAATTTTGGGCTGCGTTATACACATCTATCCTGTTCCGACGAAATAATAGTGTAATACATAAGTATGAGCTATGACCTTCAACTCCAAATACAAAAGAAATTTAGAAAAATCCGACCATAGCAATGACAGGCATGTACTGGTATTTAACACTCATACCTGAATCTAAGCAAAATAGCATCTCTGAGGTAGGGGTGAGTATTCGATCAAGTGGAGTTGAGTAAAAAAATTTTGAGTTATTCAAGTTGACGATCCCTATTTTATAACTCAAATTTTATTTGAATTTTTTTTCGAGTCGATTCGAGTTCATGAAAACTGATTCGAGTTGTTCAAGTTTCTGTTTAAATTTACTTGTAAACATTTATAATGTTATGGTACTAATTGAGTCAAATTTAAACAGTTTTCTATATATATATATATATATATATATTCATATGCGATATACATATATTATGAAAAGTTGAGGGACTCGACTCGAGTTTGAAAACCAATCCACTAATTACTAAAAAATTTGAGTTTTTCGAGTCCTATTTTATAACTTGACTCGAATTTGAATTTTTTTTAGTCAAGTTTATGAAATTACGAGTCGAGTTTTTTAATATCAAGTCGAGTCAAAAAATTCAATTTTTTTTCTAGTCAAGTTTTGCTCCCCTACTCCTGGGGATGTAAATTCTATTTGGTATAAATATCACATAGAAACATGATAATGAAGGATTGTAACTTGTAAGAAATATGTTAGTTCTAGATCTTTGAAACTCTTAAAAGTGTCGCGTTTATAATGTCATCGAACAAATTCAAAAGTCTCGGTAGGTATATTTATTTTCTATTTGGCTTTAGTAAGCAGGTCTTCTGTGTTCGTCAGAAACACATGAGAGCCCGCTGATGTTTCTGCATTGAAGGACATTGTTTTTGTGAATTTGCTTTTTATCTTAGTGATTTTTTTTTCATTTGCAGATTCCTGCTCAGAACTTAAGAATGAAACGGCTGAGAGGTTATGAAATAAAGGTAGGTACCATTATTTTAATCAAGCGATTTTTTCAAACATATATGCTGACTATTTCTTCAATCATACATGTATTTGTAATATACCCTTGGACGTGCCCCTGAGCATGTCTTATAGTTTTGCCGAGCCTTCCACTGTTCCACATGGATCAATGAAGATGCTGGCTTGCATTGCAAAATAAATTTATGTTACTCAGACTAAAGGATGAGTTTGGTTGTCTCTCATACGTATGCTCAAAACATACTTGGATATGATTGTAGGGCACAAATACTTCAATATATATATATATGAAGAGTTGGAGTTACATAGGTTAAGACAGTAGTAGGGTTATGCCTTATGTGTATTCCATATGTCAATGCTCGAGGATATGTTGAATATCATTGAATGAACAAAGTAGAATATGGCATCATTCGAATCATCTGGTTTTAGTTGGGCTATGTACATGTTGTGTGCATGAGCATGGGCCTTAGATGCAGTATTTGTACTTGGATATGTACTTGTTCATGGGCTGGTATTAATGGGATTCTGATTTTTTTTTGCTTCACCCTTTTCAAGCTGCGCGGGATTTGAATTATTCACTGCTTTGGCTACAATTATTTGGCTAGGGAACCGTTGCAAGCATTACTTACATTTTCCTATGGCTGTCTTAACAGGCCAATCACTGGGATTCCTTCTACAAGTTCTACCGGAATACTACTGATAATAAGTTGATTCTTTTCTTTTTACAGAATTTTAAGTAATCTAGATCTATGTTACTCGTACTCATGTTGGATACGAGTATATTTTTTAATGGGTTTTCCCATGTATCTGGGAAGTCCTTAAAAAGTCATATCCCCATGTATTGGAGCGACGTTCTAGATTATTCAACACAAATGTGATTTCTTTCTTAAGAAGCCATACCCTCATTAGTTATCCTTTTTCTGTAAGATGCATGATGTGTAGTCTCAATTTTTATAGGTGGGGCAGTCCGTACCTAAAAAGAGATTTCTTTCACGAGATAGGATCGAAGATGGGCGACGAGGTGCTGCTTGTAGTTGCCGAAAAAGGGGACGAGCTTGTTGCTGGAGCTTTGAATCTCATCGGTGGAGATACTATATATGGACGCTTATGGGGATGTCACCCTGAAGCTTATTACCCGAGCTTGCACTTTGAAGCATGTTATTATCAGGTTTGTTATTTTGCTTGAAGCATCCTTTGAAGACAAAGATTCTTGTATCCCCTGTGTGAGAAATATACTCGTATCCCCGGCTCAATTAATGTAGTTCATTTGTCTATAAGCTATGAAGCATGGTTATGATTTTTTTTCGTTTTGCTATCGTAGGCAATTGAAGCGGCTATCGAGTTGAATCTAAGCACAGTCGAGGCCGGAGCTCAGGGTGAGCATAAGATTCAGCGAGGTTATATGCCAGTGCCGACTTATAGCTGTCATTACTTTATCGATGAAGGTTTCAAGAAGGCCTTGGAGGAATTTCTGGTTCGAGAATCAAATCAGGTATGTAAAAGACTTGATGGTACCTTCAGTGATGATAGTTTCTTATTGTGTTATTTATGAAAATCAAAATGGCATCGACTCCCACTTTATAAAGGAAGTAGAAGTGATGTTGAAACTGAATCGGATCAGCTGGTTGAATAGAGACGGTCCGGTCCGGTTGATAATATAAAATTTTCCGTTAACTAAATCGGTAAAAAACGATTTAACCAGTTAAAGACCGAAACAAAAAAAAAAGGAACAGTTTTACTTACTTTTAGTTCTATTTTTGCAGGTTGGGGTTGTGATGGAACTATTACATGATTCTGGTCCCTTTAAGGATGGCATACACCAATGATGAGTGCTGTAATTTTCGTGAAAATACATTGAAGCCATCGTACATGATAAACATGGAAAGAAGTTGCAATTTGTTTCAACTTCACTGAGTCAACTCCAAATGGTTCTGGGAATATCTATGCATTATTCCAGAATTAAATAAAGACTTTACATAATTGGTCAGCAAGTCCTAATTCAAAATATATAATAACAATTTGGTCCCCAAAATTTATAAATTGTACCAATTTGATAATAATTCAAAAGTTATAAGATTATAAATTAAGATCAAATCAATAGAATATGTAAATTGTAGGAACTAAAAATATTATTATATCTGATTATATCATGATTTCTGTTAATTTTTTAACTGTTGTTGATTAAAATAGAACAATATATATAACATTAATAAAAAAAATTAAATATAACATTAGTAATTAATTATACAGACAGTAATAAAATAACCGAAAAAGGACAGGACTAATAGTACCTACGGTATAGTTTATACCCTAAATAAAAATAATAATTAATTGAAAAATAAGTGGCCGATAACATAATTTACTTCTCAAAGTAAAGTTCCTGCGCCTTCATTAAATTTAACACTAATCTTTGTCCTTACACCAACCAGCTCAATATGAACTTTCAAATTTAATTTAATAGATGAAAATTGCAAGAATTATTAGGAATTCAAATTTTATAATCATATTTAAATCCAACCCAAACAAAAATTTTATAAGCGTATATGTTAATATAGATCAAAATATATATAATCGTTTGTATAGTTTTAGTAATAGGATGATTTTATCCAAAATTTCCTTCAGAAGAGCTTTTTTCTTTTCCTTTTTCAACCCAATCTTTTTTCCAACAATCTTAACTAAACTCTACAAATGCTACTCAATATCATCTAAGCTCGAGAAATGCTCGACCAACAAAGATCATAATGTCCAGCAAAGAATGGAAGTGATTTAAAAGTTCTTATCTAGTATCTGTAAGACGAACCAGACTGTGGCGGTGCAGGTGGCAACCTAGTTGGTGTCCTACGTCTCCCGTATCTTGAACCTAAACCCTCATCCCCATCCTGTTCTGGGTCGCTATACCGTCGGCTATGACCATTCGACCCGTATCTACCCGAACCTGTAGGTCCATTTGCAGCAGCATCAAATGCATTCCTCCAGTCATCAACTGCCAAGGCTCCACTTGCCCGTGGACTGCTTTCTGTATCTCACAAGAAAGGGAAGAAAAATCGTATTTCAGGTATTGAGTCAAAAAATCATTACAACACAAAACAAGCATGCCATGGGCAATTCACATCAATTTCTATGTTAGCTCCCATTCATCAGTTTTTTCCCTGAAAGAACGGGGTGTCCAATAGAAAAGTAAAATCCTCCAAATGCGTTAAAAACATGAAAAAATTGGACATACTCATATTGGACACAACTGTTTCCGAGCCTCATTCCAGGCACATAGCATTAACAATGTGCATGCAACCATCTTTGCAGAACCAGGCATCATTTGATTACACAAACCGAATCAAGAAAATAATACCTGCTGCACTGTCATTAGACCAGCTGGAGGCGGCGGCAGCTCTACTGTCATGGATGCTAAGTTGCCTTGTAAGTTTCGAAAGAAGAGAAGATTGTTTCTGGTATCTCTCCCTCCTGCGTTTTGCATTTTGGTCCTCCAATAGCAGTTCTTCAATCCTACGATCGTTTATGGCACTGACCACCAAAGCATAAAAGAGTGAAGTTACTCCCCCAAAGAGACTAAGACAACAAAGACCATAAAATATGTACACCAAAATTAAAAAATGACGAGAACAATTTTCAACAGCCATGCATGGATGTCAATTGCAAGAACAAAAATAAGACATAAGAGTGTCTGCTTTTGTTATTTGTTGTTCACGCTAAGAATGACAGATTAATCTTAAAAGGCATAGTTTACACATGAAAAGTGTGTTTTTACTGCTTGTAAACTAGGTGAAATAAATAGTACTGACCTAACACAGCTATATAACTGAATAAGCATGTCTTCTTTTGCTTTCTCTACTTGGCAAAGAACGACGGCCTGCTTAAAAAAAAAGATGATTAGAAATGATATATCAGCAAAAAACAATAGAAGGTCATTCAGCAGAATAAACTGGCCTTTGGAACATTGGCAGCAAGGCTGTTAAGAACAGCTTCCACGTATCCACGCACTTCTTGGGACATCCACCGAAGCTCTTCTTCAGGATCAGGAGGTTTTCTTGCCATTGTATCCTGCAAGGGGAACATGAGTAATGTTGAAGAGTTATGCTTGATAATAAAAAAAAAAATTGACAGATACAAATCCTGTATTTTTGCCGGTCCAGCTGCACATTGTGCAGTTTTTTTTAGCAAAGATTGATTCATAGCTAAAAATTGATGAATGACCAAATAAGCAAAAAACCAATCTAAACCAAAATAGCCTAAGATCAATAAAGAACTACCAAACTCCACAAGCAACCCAAACTAACCGGAATTAACCAATAACTCGCTCAATCAAAGGAGAAAAAACAACTCACAAGTGAACCATCAGATAGACTTTGCCTCATAGGAGGGCTGGACTCAACCTTAACTTGACCTCCTTTAGATTCAACAACAGTTTTTAACTTTTCTAACCACTCAGTCTTGTCTGCAATGCTCTCAGCCTTCAACACAACAGCACTATGAGCTGCAAAATAAAATTGAAGTATATAATCAAGAAGCAAATTGGTATAGGAACAACAAAATTAATTTAATAGAACTTGTAAAACCTTTCAAAACTGTCTTATATGGAATCCTGCTAGTTATCTTGAATACAAAACTGGGTTCCTTTTCTGGTCCAGTTGCCTTCTTATCCTTGGAACTTTTGGATGAGCCACCTTCATCATCAGCAACTTCCTCAATATTGCATTCCTGATGATTAAAGAATCAGAGAAGCGGGCATTGATATTGATGAAAAGCCTATATATTTCAGTATGAACATTTTTATAGAGATCATATCTATAAATCAAAGCAATATAGAAGCTAACAATTCTCTAATCCCAATCAACAATATCAGGATTCCTACATGTAAGCTAAGACCAAAATTCCCCTCACACAATAGTCTTTTCTTTTTAAAATATAACTGAAGCAAATTACAATTGATACAGAATGGAGCTCTCTTTCTTTATCAATACCTCCGAGTGGGGAGCACTCAGGAGAAAAATCTTGAATGAACCAGGTGAACTGAGGACTACATCCTCAAGATTTCCCAAGAAAGGAATTAAGGACACTCCAGACCATATATCAAAATTGTTGGAAATCCTTAAATTAATGAGATTCTCTACCTTAGTTCTAGGAATTTCCTTGTAAATATTAGCCATAATCTAATTACTAATTTTTAGGGATAGGCTAATTATTAGAGATTATTTCCTTCTTATTCTTTTTCTGCTATGTTAAAAGGGTGTACTCCTATGAGAAGAAATAAGACTTTTTCTTCTTCCTAAATCCGTTCATGGTATCGAGAGCCATAGGATTCACTCGATCCTACTCATTTGTCTCTCATCTCTCTTCCTAAACAATTCTTTTTCCTTCTCTCATGGGTGATATCAATGAAACCCTCTCTGAGACTGAGATCTCACAAATTACTCAAAATTACAGCCAAAGAATCCCTCAAACTAACCTTAACTCCTCTCTTACAATCACAAATCATCGATTAGATGGAAAATATTTCCTGCAATGGTCACAATCTGTCCTTATGGTTTTTCGTGGCCGAGGAAAAATTGGGTACTTCAATGGAGACATTCCCCGACCAGCATCAACAGAATCTGGTTATGCAACTTGGGAGCTTAACAACTCAATGGTCATGGCGGCTTATAAATTCGATGGAAGGTAATATAAGACGAACTTACCTTTTTTTCAAAACTACCAAAGAAATGTGGGATGCAATTAAGGAGAATTACTCGGATCTTGGAAATGCTTCCCAAGTATTCGAGATCAAATTAAAGTTGAAATATATTCGGCAAGGAGCACTTGAAGTCACTCAATATTACAACCACCTAAAGATCTTATGGCAGGAGTTGGACATGTATTATGAAGCTGATTGGGGCGGGGGCTCGGAACCCACCAAGTTCATGGATCATATTAACAAAGAGAGTCTCTATGAGTTCTTAGCAATTCTTAGCAGGACTAAATCGTGATCTTGATGAGGTCCAAGGACGAATACTAGGCAGAACCACACTACCAACCATTGGAGAAGCATTTGTTGAAGTAAGGAGGGGAGAGAAACGACGTCTTATTATGGTGGGAGACACAAGAGAACAAAAACCTTTGACCACAGGTGGTCATCGTCCTTCCGAGAACACTGCCCTTATTTCGAAAGGCCCACAGTCTCAAAGGTACAAGGTTGGAATTGATTCTGGTTTAAATAGGCCATTGTGTAGCCACTGTAACCGGGTTGGACATACCAAAGAGAAATGTTTTAAACTCCATGGTTATCCCTGAAAAAATCAGAAAGAAAACAAGGTAGCAATGATATCTACTACTGAAGAAGATGCCCAGGATGTTCGGCTAACCAAAACTCAACTTGAGGCTCTTCATAAACTCCTCGGGACACCTACAGCCAGTGGGTCACTAGCTATTCAAGGTACTGCCTTAAGAACTACACATGAACCCATCTGGATACTAGATTCGGGTGCATCCAACCACATGACAGGTAATCTAAGTTTGTTTCACCCATATTTACCTTGTTATGATCACTCCCGGATTCACATAGCTGATGCATCTTACTCGCCGGTGGCTGGAATTGGAACAATCAGACTTACTGAAAATTTTTCCATTGATAAAGTTTTATATGTTCTAAATATTTCGTGTAATTTACTCTCAATTAGCAAGCTTACCAAGGATGAGAAATTACTTGCTAAATTTTCTGCTTTCGGTTATGTGGTTCAGTGGGAAGATGATTGGCACTACTAAAATTGATGATGGCTTTTATATTTAGAATAAAAACAACTCACAAGAAGGGATGGCCTTATCTACATTGAAAGAAGAATCTATCATGCTATGGAACCGTAGACTAGGACACCCTAATTTTATGTACTTGAAGAAAATGTTTCCTCTGCTATTTCTAAATAAGAAAATAAGTTCCTTGAATTGTGAAGTTTGCCAACTGTCTAAACATACTCGTGCCCCTTATCCTTTGAAACCTTACGTTCAATCTCAACCTTTCTCTTTAATCCACGGTGATCTATAGGGGGCCAGTCGAATAAAAAGTGTCACAGGGACTAGGTGGTTCATAACATTCATTGATGACCACACTAGAGTTTGTTGGGTCTATCTCCTCAAAGAAAAAACCAAAGTCTTTAGAGTCTTCCAAAGCTTTCATTCAATGATTCGAACTTAGTTCAATTCCAAAATTCACACCCTTAGAACTGATAATGGGAGAGAGTATTTTCATTATATCCTAAGCCCTTATCTTTCTGAGCAAGGAATCATACATCAAAGTTCTTGTCCCGACACCCCTCAACAAAAATGGAGTTTCAGGGAGGAAAAACAGACACCTTGTAGTTGTGGCTCGTGCTCTTATGTTTACTATGGGTGTACCGAATTATTTATGGGTAGAAGTTGTTCTCACTGCTTGTTATCTTATAAACCGACTCCCATCAAAGGTATTAAACTTTCAAACACCTTTACATACTCTTAAAAAAAATTCCCTTGTTTCGTGTTCCTAATCTCCCAACCAAAACTTTCGATTGCAAAGCGTTTGTCCACAATCATCAACCTAACCGATCTAAACTTGATCCTAGAGCCCACACTTGTGTCTTTCTTGGATACTCACCTACACAAAAGGGGTACAACTACTATTCTCCAACCCTACACCGAATGTTTGTGTCACTTGATGTTACTTTCTTCGAAAACGAGCCATATTTTCAGACTCTCATCTTCAGGGGAGATTTTAGTGAAGATGAGACCTTGAACAACCTTCTCATTATACCTAAAGACTCTATCAGTCTTACCACCACTACAAAAACCGCTGAAAATCCTACAGCCACTGTAATTCCTGATTTGGACCCTGTTTGACTCGACTCCACTGTGCAACAACAAGAAACAAGGGTGATTAACCATACTAATGAAGAAAAACAACCCTCTCCTCCTGAAAAACAAGAAGAAAAAACTCACCAACTTCGTGTATACACTCAGAAACATCAACTGCCAGAGACTGAAACAGCAGTGCCAATGCCATCTTTACCTGAAGATTGTCCTGAGGAAGAAGTCTCACCTCTTTCACCTTCCATCTATCTTCCAATTGCAGAAAGAAAGGGCACTAGAAGCTGCACTCAACATCCCATTTCTTGGTTTGTATCCTATAGGAACTTGTCTAAATCCTACAATGCCTTTATTTCTAATATTGACTTTGTAGAAACTCCAAATAACATAGAAGAGGCTCTTAAGTCAACCAAATGGAAGCAAGTTGTGTTGGAAGAAATAAAGGCTCTTGAAGACAATGGAACGTGGGAAATATCTAAACTACCTACTGGGAAGAAGACTGTGGGTTGTAAGTGGATTTTCACTACGAAATTTAAACCAGATGGGAGCATTGATCGATACAAGGCTAGACTTGTGGCTAGGGGTTTCAATCAAATATATGGGTTGGACTACGAGGAAACATTTGCACCAGTGGCCAAACTAAATACTATTCGAGTGCTCTTCTCAATTGTTGTCAACTTAGATTGGCCTTTGATCCAATTGGATGTAAAGAATGTGTTTCTCAATGGAGAATTAACGAAGAAGTCTACATGGATTTTCTGCCCGAATTCGAAGGAAGCAAGGGTTAAGTTTGCAAGTTGAAGAAGTCTTTGTATGGACTAAAGAAATCCCCTAGGGTTTGGTTTAATCGTTTTGCCAAAGCCATGACGAGTAGACATTATATTCAAGGTCAAGCTAATCACACCTTATTTTACAACACTCGGCTAATGGGAAGTGTTGTATTCAAATTGTATATGTAGATGACATAATATTGACAAGAGATGATTCTATTGAAACTGAAAGACTAAAAGAATTCTTAAGTCTTGAGTTTCAACTTAAAGACTTGGGGAATCTTCAATATTATCTTGGAATGGAGATAGCAAGGTCAAAGGCAGGTATTTCAATCTCTCAAAGAAAGTATGTTCTTGATCTACTTTCTGAAGTCGGACTGTTGGGTTGAAAACCAACCAAGACTCTCATGGAATCCAACCTTAAATTAGGAACTGATAAGGATGGAGAAGAGGTAGACAGGGGGAGATATCAACGGTTAGTGGAAAAACTTATCTATCTTTCTTACACTCGTCCAGACATAGAGTTTGGAGTAAGTTATTAGTCAATTTATGCATGTTCCTAGGGAGAAACATTTGGAAGCTGCTTACAGGATATTGAGATACTTAAAGGTACTCCTGGTAAGGGGTTGCATTTCAAGAAAAATGTAAATCAAAGCATAGAAGTCTACACTGATGCAGACTGGGCAGGTGTTGTTAATGACAGGCACTCCACAAGTGGTTACTGAAGCTATGTTTGGGGTAATCTCGTGACATGGAGGAGTAAAAAGCAGTCGGTTGTGGCACACAACAGTGCTTAAGTTGAGTATCGAGCTCTGTCCCAAGGTATATGTGAAGGAATGTGGCAACGACGACTAATGGGAGAACTAAAATTATCCTATACAACACCTATAATACTGAACTGTGACAACCAGGCAGCAGTTAGTATAGCTCACAACCATGTACACCATGACCGCACCAAGCATGTGGAAATCGATCGCCACTTTATTACGGAGAAAATTAACAAAGGAGAAGTTTGTGTTTCATATCTACCTACTCGACAACAAGTAGCAGATGTGTTAACGAAGAGCTTGAGTAGAAAAAGATTCGAAGAAATTATGGGCAAGCTAGGTTCTATTGACATCTACACTCCAGCTTGAGGGGAGTGTTGGAAATCCTTAAATTAAGGAGATTTTCTACCTTAGTTCTAGGAATTTCCTTGTAAATATTAGCCATAATCTAATTACTAATTTTTAGGGATAGGCTAATTATTAGAGATTATTTCCTTTTTATTCTTTTTCTGCTATGTTAAAAGGGTGTACTCCTATGAGAAGAAATAAGACTTTTTCTTCTTCCTAAATCCATTCAAAAATTGGTGATAGTTATTCAAATTTATCATGTGTTCTGATTATTGAATATTTTCATTATCAATAACTATTCTCAAATTATTTCAGAACATATAAAGCAACTTGGAAAGAGAAAGCAACGGAGAAAATAAGGAATGCATATTTTACATGTTGCATCATTAAAATTTGACGCAAAAATTAATTTCTATAATCACAAAAGGAGAGATTCTCAGTAATGAAGAAGATTCAACAATCAGAAAACATGTGTGTGTAAATTAGGGCTCACAAATGCAAGGAAGAGGAGATCCGAACATCAACTTCATACCTCCAATGTAATGACACCACGGAAATGTCTTTCCTCTTGTCTTTTTGTGTAACCAAGCTGCAGCAAAAATAACCGTTAAGCAACATTACTTGAACAAAGAAAAAATAATATGGATTATCAACTATACACACACTCCCACGCTAAGATAGAAACAACCAAAATTAACTGAAGCACAAAACAGTAACCTTGCCAGTTTTCTCATTCAAAACAAACCATCGCCTACTCCATCCATTTGTTTTCCCACTTTTCTTCAGTAAAAACCCTGCATGTAAAACAAAAAATTGATGCTAAACCAAAATAAGCCCAATAAATGGCCAATAGTTGCAATCAAACTTGCATAGTATTTGTACATGAAAAAGCTTGTTTACACATTTATCCCTCCTAACTGTTCCCACCTTTCGTACCAGCTAAATCAAACTAGAAGATTCTGTGAAACAAAAACAAAACTTAACTGGTAGGAAGGATGGAAAACTTGATAATCTAGTCATTAAAATTCATTTCGTACTTTATAGCGTAATATTAGATGATAAGTTTCCTGTCCTTTCTACCTATCGAATCATAAAGGTCGAATGAATACATGTTTGCAGCCATCTGAGGGGGTTGTGAGGTTTGAACATTTCATAACGGGTACTATTGACAGGTTATGAGTAGCACTGTTATGAGTTTAAAGACTAGTAAATTTGCTACAAAAATGAAGATAGTGTTTTTACATGTGAAGTGTTCTATATCCATTGCTAAAATCCTGACCTTTGATGTTTCTAGAATTTCAAAACCATCTCTGCCTTTTTCAGGAGAGCAATTTTGCCAAATAGACATAAAGTTCTATAGATTCAAACTAAAACCTGCTTGTTTTGGGAATTTCAGGAGGGTGAAGTTCCCTTGCTTACATATTGTGGTTCTGCTCCTGAGAGATACATCAAGTCAGAGATATGTTCATTATTTAGCAGATCACTGCCTTAAATTTGATATTCCACTAGCACAAAACTCTTCTGATCAAACAACTCAATCAATAGGAATACCATTTAGCAATGGCATTGCAGGAAAGGGAAGAAGTTCAAGGCTATGACTTCAAATAGTGGATTAAACAATAAATTTCAAGATAATATTTTCCAGATGATCAGTTTGATAACTAACCTGCTGTTATCTCACCACCAGGTCCAGCAGTCTTTAAGGCTGATCCCTCCGGTACATCTTTTTCTTTCTTGCTTAATTTATCCTTCAACGATTTTAAGTTTCCTTCAGATTGTTGTCCACCGGTTTGAAGACCAATTGCCTAATAAGAGAAATGAAGAAAGCAATCAGTCTATCAGAGAAATGTAGTCACCAATAAGCTTATTATTATAAAATATCTATCACAGACACTTAGAAAGTCCAAACTCAGTTAAGAATTGCCTGCTCAGCATCAGGTGTCTTCTTGGAGGACCGGTTTCTCACCTCATCTTCTCGTCGTTGTCTCTCCATTCTATTGAAAAGTAATGGTTAAGGAAAGAAAACAAAAGAAGTTATTTCAATTATTGAAGAAAGAACCCAGAAAGCCACACACAAAAAAATTGCATTAGATGTAAAGAAAAATTATCTTAGCATACCGCCTCTGCACCAGGCGAATGAAATGCTGAGGGGGAACAAATGCACGCTCCATGTCCACTAGTGCAACTACCATCTTTTTTGATTCACTTTTAAAACCATCAAGTGCAGCACTTGCAATTGCCACAACCTGGTTAATTTTTAAAGGAAAAGAAAGTATTTCACATGCATTGTCTAAACAACCATAAAGCATATATTAACACAAGCAATGCATTATTACCTCTCTCTTGAAAGGAGCATATCTCCCTAGACCAGGTGTAGCATTTGCAGCAGCACTAACGATATCCAACAACACACGATGAACCTGTTTTGACAAGCACCCAAAAGGAATAGAAAAAAGAGAGAAAACAACACATTGATGTGAATATCACACAAGGGAAATTCTTTTCCAGCAGCTATAACTTGAAAATTTTCAATAGCATTCGTCACGCAGGAGAAAGTTCCAACAATAACATTTTAATTGTTAGTGAAAATGAATGTATTATAGAACACGCTGAGATGTATAACTTGGTATACATTTTTATGTATTTCCAATCAATTTATGCCTTAAGGTTATTGCTAAACTGACTATTTTTGGAGCCAGATCACTGTATTAACAGCATAATGTTATATCCACATAAACATCAAACAAATACATGATGTTAAATTAGGTTATTGGTGCCTTGCCTTCATAGTTAGGTTGCTAAGGAATAATCCCCAACACATCTATAGAACAAAACCTTATTTCCTCACCTATCAAATAGTAGCAGAAACTTGGGCAAGCACTCATAAAACTTTGAGAAAACAAATTCAGAAAACATAAAAGGCCTATGTTTGGATTGGTAGAAAATATATTCAGCAAAATGCAACAAACAGGAAACAAACATGAAGAAAAACTTTATACATAAGCATAGGCTCAGAGCCACAATATATATGTACCTCATCAACGCAATGAACAGATGGCTCTTTTGCTAGCTCCAAGACTCCTTTTATCAGAGATCTTAAACCCTTCTCTGGAGATATCAGATAGGGTTGATAACCATCTGCTTCTAGAACAACCTGAGAGAAAAATAACAATACGAAGTTAAAGAAACGACTGATACATAGCAACTTAACAAGGCACGAAAATGAAGGCAAATTGATATAGAACCTACCCTTTTGACATTGTTTATATCAAAATGTCTGTCCAAAGGAAGCTGCTTAATCCTGTGGGGAAAACTGCCCTCGAAACTAGAAACAATTTTC